ACTAAGATTATATAAAGATAAGGGTCCCAATCCCAAATGGTAGTCACAACAGTAGCTCTGTGCTGATCCTGCTTCAACAAGGAGGCAGAAGAGGGAGGAGGAAGAATGGAAAGGATACAGAATCCACTGAGCTTCAGTGTTATGCTCTGTTCTGTGCCCAGTTCCTTTCTTAAAATGATGCTGAGGGACAGATGTGCTTATTTCACTTTCATAGTTGAGGTCACTGAGTGTCAGACAGAACCAAGTTAAGCTAGTAACAGGCAGAATTGGAAAGAGAAGCTGGAGTGGATAGTTTCATGCTCCCTTTTGTGGTCCACCAAGTTGACTTGGTGTGCAGAAATGGAATAGAGTTTCCAGCTCTACCATTTACTAGCTTATTCCCTCTGGGACTCTCTCTGGATTTAAAATATCATTGATTGGGTAGAATAAGCCAATGTCCATAGACATCTTTTGGAAATTTTAACCACCACATAAAAGTAAAGGATTGTGGTTTTATTTTAACATTTTTCACTCATTCCAATTAGATCTCTAGAAAAATTATCTCTAAATGATAGACAATATTTATGGAGCTCTCACTATATGGAAGGTATTGTGGTTTACTTATGAAAAAGATTTAATAATCACTAAAAATCATAGGCTGATGTCAAAAAAAGGAATTTATTATCAAGTATATGAAAGTAACAGGCAACAATTGGTGAAGCAAGGCAGCAGTGCTATCTGCTAAGTGATAGAATTATCATTATGTCCACTCCTATTCCTCAATAAAAGATATTGTACAAATAAGAGTAAATGATTTTGCTCATGAGCTAATAACATGAGATTTTTTTCATATTGGAATTTAGTGGAAATTTCATTTTGCTCACATCTTGGCTGAGAGCTAAATTAAAAAAAAATAATAATCAGTTTTATGTGTTTCTTAAAACAGCACTAGTTTTCACCTGAGGGCAATCCCCTCTCCAGGGTGCATTGGCAATGTCTGAGGATATTTTTGGTAGTCACAGAAGCGTGGGGGGAACACTACTGGTATGTGGCTGGTAGAGGCCACAGATGCTACTAAATATCCTACAGTTCATAAGACTGCTTCCCTCTCTTCTACCATGACCAAAGACTATATAGCCTTAAATGTCAACAATGCAGAGGCTGAGAAAACCTGGACTAAATACATTTCCCAAGGACATGCTAAGTGATGGAAAAAAATTGTTGACCCCAACCATTGGCTCATGAGCTATGTCAATACTGAATGTAAGAGGAGCTTAGAGAATTTGGGGGGACAATATCTGTGTAAACTTTCTCTAAAAAGCCCTGTTGGGAGTGCCATGGCAACGTCCTCCCCTCCCAGGGAGGAAGGAGGGAATAAGTGCTTCCCACATTCACACCAAAAAGGATTCACCAGATGCTGGAGCCAATGTGAGTCCAGAGCAAAACCCTATGTGAGAGTCATGGGTGGGTTTGACCTTTGTTGTGAGGGTTTGGTGTACACAATGACCAGTGATGGCCTCACCTGGAGAAGTCCACAGGTGCCTTCAGGTCATGGCAGACTTTTTAACTTAATCCAGCTTTTCCCTGATATCCATTAAATAATGTTGATAAAACATCAATTATAAAAAGAAAGCACCCTAAAACCTAGAATGTAAATGGACTGATTATTTTGGTGTCCTATAGAAAAGTCTTATAGAAAGAATGGATCTGGGCGGAGGGGTCTGAGATACCTATTTTCTCTTCTTACACTCTAGGACTCCTTCCCCTACATCCTGGTATGTCGACTACTTTGCTTCAGTATCCCACCTCCTCCGTCTTATCCTTTGGCACACAGTGTAAAAGGCAAGATGTTATAGCTACAACGTTCATCTGCTTGTTGCTCCAGAAATATGATTTTTTTCCTATTTCTCAGATTGATTAATGGATATTCAGAAAATGAATGCTTTTCTCTTGATAATTTTTGTTTTGTTGGAAATACTATTGTTGAAATTGAATAAATACAATGAAAACAAGTGAAAATATTATTTCAGTAACAGAAAGGAAGCATATATTTCACTGCCTGTTATCCAGGCATAATTTTTCATACACATTTTGGTACTGACAAACTCCAAACAGTGTTTTTGAGGATTTGATATTTACTTGGGGAGAAAAGAAATTTTTATTTAAGGTCGGTTATAAGCAAATAATTCCATTCATGAAATATATATTCTGTCTGCCTCCTTTTGGTATTCAAAATAAAATTCACAGAAAAGTAAGACATTATGACTTAATATTATAGCCTCTGAAACTATGTCATTAGAGCTAAAATAATGAGCATACCCACCCCTCAATATGTCTGTGACTACCTGCTCCCCAACATGGAGCTGCCTCCTTCAGCCCTGAGCCCTGCTAGGCCTCAGCCCCAGCCTGCAACACTTCCTGTCCTCCTTAGGTTGAGGCCTTCCTATAGAGGAAACAGGAAAGAGAGTCTGATGACTATCAACTGCACCCTCAGATGCTGGTAACTGTGCCCCTAATGTCTGGTTTTGCATAATTGCCTGCTGAGTTGGTTTCATATGTAGACAATGAGTATGTTGAAACTGCCTGACCATCTCAGAGAGCAGGCAAATTCCACTAATCCATTTCCCTGAGATTTCTAGTAATGATGAAAAACTCAGGATAAAAGTGCTGGGAAGCAACAGCGCTCCCATTGGTGCCTCATATTGTGTGTTAGATGTTTTAAATGTGTTCCGAATCTCAGGGAATCATCATAAATCCCCTGAAAATAGAATTATTCCTAGAAAAAATAACTACTAATTAGAGGTGGTCACTGTGTTTCAGTTTGCACAATTGGGCCATTTCAAATAACTTCATAGGTTACTAACATCACAAGAACATACTGTGGAGTTTAAGAGTAAATGTGACTTGTCCAGATTTACTGCCTACCCAAGCCCAGCCCAGCTAGGACAGATGGAGTAGTTGCCCAGGAAATCATGGCTGAGTTTCACTTTGGGCACACATCAGGAAGAGATCCAGTCCTGAATATTCTGCCCCAAGACCCTTTTCCATGCCAGAGAGGAAAAGACTATGAAAGCCACTAATCAGTTAAGTTCATGAATTTGGTTTAGCATAAAATGTCATGGGTGGGCTACATGGAGAAATATTAAAACCACAAAGCCAGGACTCAAGCAAGTGATCAAAATGAGTAATGAGGATCAAGTCTTAGAAATAGATATTGACCATATTTTCATTCTCTCCTTTACATTTTGTCTCCTATTGCACTTTCTTTATTAAAACTGAACAATGAGATAATGATTGATTGATTGATTGATTGTGCTGGAGAATGAACCCCGGGCCTCACATATGCCAGGCAAATATGCTCCATCACTGAGCCACATCCCCAGCTAAACCCTGAGATTTAAAACCCATGGAAGGAGATTGTAGATGTGACTAAAACAAACTTACTTTTGAGTTTATTGTAAGAGAGTAGGCTTCAAGACCAGTTAAGTTTAAAGCAAATGCTATTTTCTTTCTTTTTTTTTTTTTTTGAGAGAGAGAGAGAGAGAGAATTTTTTAATATTTATTTTTTAGTTTTCAGTGGACACAACATCTTTATTTTATTTTTATGTGGTGCTGAGGATCAAACCCAGGACCCCAAGCATGCCAGCCAAGTGCGCTACCGTTTGAGCCACATCCTCAGCCCAAAGCAAATGCTATATTCTAATGATGAATCTGCATTTATAAGTCAGAAGACAAGCTTGGAAACTAAGATGAGAATTTTATAAGAGGTATTATATAAGGAAAACTCAGGGTATGAAATCAGCATTCACCCAGAGGAAAGGGTGGCATTTCCTGCTGGGAATTTCTGTGAGATTATAGGAAGAGTTAAGAGAGGCAAAGAATTGAGTGAAGGCCATTCCTGTTCCGCATAACCTGAGTGTCCTAGCCCAGAAGAGGTAGAAACACTAACAGAACTCAAGATAGACCTGGGGAGAATCTGAGAGTTTCAGTTGATGTTGAGCTCCTCCAATACTGCCAGGGTAGAACTTCACCAACAGAGGCAGGTATAAACAAATATGAGCCCAACCCAGCACTATTTTCTGCACAAGTGTTTATAGAGGAGATCTAAATGCCTTTCAGGGTTTCTAATAGGTTACAGAGGTACTGAGAGTGTCAGGGAACATATTGAATAAGATTTGGATGACAAGCTGCAGGGGGAAGCTTTGCACCCCAAGGGCTTGGTGTGGAGTCAACAGTGATGAGTTCAGGTCTGTTAGTGCACCAGCAGATTCAGAGGGGTAGTCAAAATCCCAGATGACACAGAGCAAAGTGCTGGATGCTGCTGAGGACAGTGAGTAGCAGAAAGATGACTAAAAGGATGATACCCGACTCCTAGTGGGTTCCAGGGTGGCAAGGGCAGCCCAAGTCTTAACAGCACCCAGGGCCCACAGACTGACTGAGGCAACAGCCTCCACTTCTTTTCTACTTTCTCTACTGGAGACAAATACCTGTGTGAATGTTCAGCCAGCCCTTCTAATGGTACCCCATGGGACTTCTGGCCTAGGGCTTCCAGTGTTGAGCATCTCAGAAATGATATTTATTGGAAAAGAGGGAAAACAGGGCCTCAGAAGGAAGATGCAGCTATCTGAGCCAGAGGGGTTCTCCTTTCTCCTCTGTAGGAGCTGTGGGACCTGTATTCATACCTGCTGAATGTGGGACCTGACAGGGGTGACACAGTGTCACTTATGATCACTGTCTGGGGCTACAGGAGCCCTGATGCACTTAGATTATGTAGGAAACCATATGGAAACCATGATGAAGTTGGTTTAGGAAAGAACAGAGTAAAGGGAAGCTCCCCAAAGTGGAAAAATATGTTAACGATATTTAGTGATTTTCCTTGATTTACCCAGGTTACAACTTCAAATTAATCACCAAAATTTTCAACAGGTGAAAGCTGAGAGAAAATGAAATGGTTGAAAGGAAGAGGAGGTTAAATTTTAAAATGTAATAGTGATAATTATAAACAATAGAAATTTACTATATCTCAGAAACCATCAATATGCTTTATTAAATTTGCATAAAATTTCGATATATGTATAATTATTGCAGCCATTTTCAGAGGAAGTATGTGAGGCTTAAAGGGATGAGGAAATTTTCACAAGACAGACAGGTCCTAAATGATAAACACAGACCATTAATAGTTGTAGACATCAAAAAATGCCTCAGTGCTATGGGAAGTTTTTCAGAATACTTGATGAACTGAATAAAGAAATCAAAATTCTGTACATATAAATATATTTGTAGTTCATGGAAACATATTCATATCAATGTATCTGCAAATAAAAAAATCTGGAAATTAAAAAACCATAATGATTTATAGCTGTTGTCCTTCATGATCTGATCATGGATGTTGTCATTTTTATCTTCATTTTGTTTCTCTGAGTTTCTTCATGAGTATATTTGCCAGCATGCTCTGCTTTTCAACTATGTGTTTGTGAAGTCCATTCAGCAGTCTGTATCCTCATCTATATAATGCAACTACAAGTGTCTATACTGATTATTGTGGTGGCTATAAAGGTGGAGAACATTTTTTTAAAGCTAAATAAATGTTTATTGAATATTTGATACAATAAAAATTAATATTTATTAAATATGTAATATATAAAAATGGGATGTAGAGAAAAGGAGTTCATAAAATATCTCCTGGGCACTTCCCTTGAAGCTAGGGCACCTTCCTGTTCTCACATTCATGCAAAGAGCCCTATGACCATCAGCCCTATTTCAATATGTACAGGGCAAGCCTGCTGGGCACAATGTTCAGTCTGAAGCCAGTACTGAAGGGCCCAAGAATCACCCAACCCACTAATTCCTTTCCTCACCCAAGTTCAGGTCACACCCTCCTGTCACTGACCTGAGACATCCAGACACCAGGTCCCCACTTCTTGAGTACACAGCTGGCAGTCAACATGTCACTACTGCAAGTTGTAACCTTCTTCTCCTTCTGGGCTGGTGAGTCACTCTGCCCAATTCATTTTTTCTTTATGAGTGACTGTAGTGATTCTTTCATGTTTACTTCTCATATTCTCCTTTTTACCTCACAGTTGGACTTGGATGGTCAGAAATGGAGCAGTATGATGTATCTGTTTCTGCAGAAATAAAGAAAAGTGTTAACATAAATTTCAAGTACATATTCAACACATATTCTGAAAATGAAGCCATTTATTGGTACTGGCAGAAACCAAATCAGACCTTGGAGCATCTGATTTAAGTTACCTAAACAAAATCCCCAGCTCGAGGTCCCTTGAATGGGAAGAAAAACAAAATTGAGGCCAAAAAGTATTCTCGAACTGTTGAGGTGCAAACGTATTTTTGAACTCTGTCTTCAGTCCTTACCACACATTCCATAGAAAAAGAAGATGCAGCCATGTACTACTGTGCAGTGGGGAATCCCCTCCTTGGGCTTGAGTACTCCCACATCCCTCCCTAAACAGGCAACCACAACCAGTTCCACAGCTGGGCTTCCAGTCTCAGGCTGCCTTCTCTGAGCTCTCCTGGACTGCCCAGAAGCTTTCATGGGCCATGCCTACACTTGAGTTCACAGCTGGACCCAGGCACTGTGCTTCCAAATCTTCACTTGACTGTTTCCCAACCAATTCTATCCCTGTCTTTGGACTGAGAGGCACGGGCTTTGCCAATGTTCATCATGCCAGCATCCAGAGATGTTTGCTAAGTGCAAGGTGCAGGTAGAAAGTTACTCATGGTGTGCCATTGTTGTCACACACAATCAAGACAACCCCTGTGCAATGCACCCCTCATTGGTTCACTAATATTTCTTTAACTCACATCCTTATCTAGGCTGTTTCTGACCATGACCAATTATTAAGGGTAGACCTTTAACTTTCTTAGTTCCCTATGTTTTTAAGCATGTCAAATAAAAATAAGCATCTGGGAGAAACACACTAAATGTAGGAAGATGGGTATTTACCAAGAGAAATGGATGAAAAACGTGAATTAATTTTTTTCAAAGACCTTTGATAAAGTTTCTGCATGGATATCCTCGTGTAAGGGACAGAAGATCAGTGTGCTTTGGTAAATAATGTAGTATCTCCAGAGGAGTTGGCCTTATGAAAAAAAAATTTAGCAGATTTTAATATGATCCCTATAAAAAATAGTGACACAGTTCAGTGATGAATGAAAGAGGCAAGTAATTTGTGTTGCATTCAAATGATAGAAACATGGGAACTTAAAAATGACATTTTGAGCATTTATAATAAAAGTGAAAATGTTTATAATCCAACATAAGATAACATATAAAGTATGAATATGTGTATATTAACTCTCAAATATGGAAATTTCTGTATTGATGGAAGAAATAAAATTTTAAAAAAGCATTAAAGTTTAAAGATGGGTTTTATTTCCTAACAGGGTGAATGGGTTATTTCTTCTTTATACTTTACCCTATTACATACATCTGAAAGATATTTAGGCTATTACAGATGTAGAAACTGAGAAACAAAAATTTTGTATAATTTAGTTTACATCAGAGAGGGTTAGTAGTTAACAGGGGTGCTTATTATTATAGGTCATTAATTATGATATTTACCTAATTCTTTTAAGGACCTGATATGTTTTTAAACATAAGGCTTACTCAGAGAAGAGACCAGGAAACTACCTGTAAAGGCCATCTAAAGTAAAATATATGCAATGATCCAGACATATTATAAGTATTATGAAAATGCTTAAAAGAAAATAATGAATGCTTTTATTATCATCATTTCATAGCACATTTACTCAGATATCTTCAGTGAGCATGTGTTACTTATCCAAGCTCACATGGTTACCAGAGTTATGATTGGAGTTAAGTCATCTTTGTCCTACTCTTCTCACCTGTCACAGGGAGATCACTATAATACCACTTCTCAGGATTTGGTGACACGGAAAATGGCAGCAAAAGAATCATTTAAAACACCATTAGCCAGTCCTCAGTACATGTTAGATATGTTATTAATTGTAAAGCCTTATTGCTACAAGTAAAAATGAGCAATACTTAAAAATAACCCTCTCTTTGACAGTATAGGTGAGAAAGCTCCAAAATTGTTTTATCTAGTGTACCAGAGAGCAGTGGAGAGGTGTCTGCAGTGAGATGCCTGGGCTAGATCTTAGAGAACTCCCTGGCAGACTTGCAGGACTCAAAATATTGGGCAAATAATGGGGAAAGAGACACAGAGCCCCAGCACTTTCCAGGGATGGAATACCACACAGCCTCTGAAATCAGTGTATTATGGATTTAGCAGCAAAAGTAGAAAATGTTCACAGTACAGTATAAAGAAGTGTTTATGGAGTATATAATAACTTTTTAAAATTTATATTTGTTTTGATAGAAGGATTTTTTTAAAAAAATGGGAATATAATTGTTCAAAATTTGAAGAATGATCAAGGAAATTTGAAAATTCCCAAGGAAATACATTACTATGCGTTCTGCCACACGGTGTTCTTAATTTTGCATGTTTTCCTTAACAAGAAACTATGGTTTTGTTGAAAAAAAATTTCAAAAAGTAATTTTATCTTGAGGCTGGGTTTGTGGCTCTGTAGTAGAGCATGTGCCTTGCACACGTGGGGCACTGAGTTAGATCCTCAGCACCACATAAAAATAAATAAAAGTATTGTGTCCATCTACAACTAAATAATATATTTAAGAAGTAATTTTATCTTGATAGATGATAACAGTAATACTAAGAATAGATAATATCATTGAAGAATCATGATGTGTTGAGTACTAATATCTGGGAATTTTATGCATTATCCTTGTATAATATGATAATGTAAGCACTTTACCACCTCTAAAAATACTTATGTAAGCACCATACTCTTATGAAAACTGAGGCACCAGATCTTAAATATCTTATTTAATATTCTACATAGTTAAGTGATAAAGGAGGGCATTAATTGTCTCTTGTCCTAAAAAATAATGTTCATATAGATTATCTAAAGATCTGCATTATTGGTCCCAATTATTTAACCATAATAAAATAATATAAAGGCAATTATGCAAATCTCACTAAATATATATATATATCTATATATATATGAATAACACCAAGCAATCACATATCTATTCATTACTATGTAGAAAAAAGTTTTGAATAAATCATTTAATGCTTTTTCCACTGCCCTTCTTCTCCAGATGGAAATGATTGTAATACCCACTTCACAGGACTGTGGAGAGAGTTAAATGAAACAACATAAGGAAACCTCTCGAGCTTTGTCTGAGAAGTAGCAAGTCCTCAGTGGCTATTAGATGCTATCATTGAGTATTAAATATAACATTAATTTGAGACCACCCTTACACACAACAAACATTCATGAAATTCAATGGATAAGGGAGAATAGAAGCTGATTCCTAGAGATTTTTCTGTATTGAACCTTCCAGAAATTGCAGTCCAGTTTCTTCCTAGAGGTACCCAGATTAAGGTTGAAATGTGACTCTTCTGAGTGATAATCTGCTTGGAGATATCCCAATTGCTTTAAAAAGAAACAGAAATATACTCTAGTACTTGTATATATGACATACTGAATAATGTTACTGAAAGCCTCTGAGTCTCTTGGTTGTGATATTGAAAAATTAAGGTCAGGATTCTTACCTGAATTCTGACTCAAGAGCAAATCACAGGCAGACAGACATGATGACAGGATGCAGCAGCCATGTCTTCATAGGTCCAAAGCAATAGTTTACAGTGTGAAATTGCAGAGGGAAAGGGTGAGTAGGTAACAGAACCATTCCTCCCACCAAACAAGAATAACAGTGTGTGTCAGGGAGTCTTTTCACAGAGTTAATACATATATCCAATCTGCTCAGCTCATGTGGTGCAGGAAACCCCAAAACCACTCATAATAGCAGCAGATCTTGAAAAACCCAGAAAATCACCTGACCCTCCACTTTTTTGAGACACTAGAACATCCATACCCTCCTGCACTGACCTGAGGCCTCAGCTCCCAGGATCGTCACTTTCTCATCCTATCTTCCCTCTGGGCTTGTGAGTTGCCCCTTGCCACTTTAGTCTCCAGGAGAAAATTAAGTCATTCTTTTTTGTAGCTTCTTTGTGTATCATTTGTTCATGGGATTTTTTTTTTTTTTTTTTTTGCAGTTGGACTTGGGCAATTGGAGCAACCTGAAATATCAATTTCCAGAGCAAAAGATGAGAGTGTTGACATACATTGTAAAGTGTGGTTCCAAGATAGTCTCAGATTAAGCTTATAATGGTACCAACAGAAACCAAATCAAGGTTTAGAGCATCTGTTATATGTCTGAACAACTGCTCAAAGGGATTTAGGCAGGAAGAACAAATTTGAGGCCAGTAAAAATACAAAACACTTTCATTTCAATCTTGACAATATTTTTCTTAGAGAGAGAAGATGTGTCCACTTCTTACTATGCCTATGGAGAGGGCACAATGTTATAGTTGCCAGAATAACCCTCACGAGAAACACCTCCAGGCCTCCTTCACATATGGGCAGCCACAGTGGCTGCTAAGCTGGGTACTCAGTCTGAGCCTCCTCTCCCTATTGCACTTCTAGAGTTTCCCAGGGTTTCTCCTGGATTCTACTCTTCCATTGATCCCTGCACAGTATTAACAATTATACTCTGAAAATACAGGGTGGATGGCAGACCAACAGTACAGTCATTGTTTACTTGACTGTACAGATTTCCAACAATTGAATGGTTCAAAATGAAGGCAGGAGAGAGTTAAATGCCTGGAGAGATGTGCAACTATTATATGGATATTTTCTGTGACTGTCATTTTCCCATTTTACACCTGAGCACTGGAAGTTTTCAGAGATAGGATGATCTGTCAGACATGATAATTGTATGCCTTCATTGGTATCCTGAGACAATCTGAAAAAATCTAGTGATATTTAAATCTATAAGGAAACAATCAGCTATTAGGGGTCTATGAGAAATCATTGTACAAATCTTGTATATGGGGAAAGAGGAAGCAGCTCTCTCTACACTCAGGACTCCTGGATGGGACAAAACAAGCTCAGCATATGCCCTGAAAACTTTATGTCAGCATTCTGCAAAGAAAGCCAAAAATCCCGAATAAGAGGAATAGACAGTTAAAACGAGATAATACCTCCTTCCTGCATCTACAGAGAATGAGAAGCTAGTATTTCCCACAATCAGCAAAGGAAAAAGTAATTATTGACAATTATTTTACATCTATTCTGTTAATACAAGTTGGATGTTTGAGAACAACCAAAAAGTAGAGGGACAAAATGTTAAGTGCAAAATATGAAAACTCCACTCCTACCTTTGTTATAATCTACTTTCAAACAAGGCAGAAATTAATGTGAAAAATTCTTACATTGGACACTTTTCTCATATTGATACCTTTTATAGATTTCTTACCACATAGTATCCATGCATATAGTTTTTCTGAAATTACTGCAATGTGGTCTTGCTCCATTTCTCTCTTCTAAAGATCAGGTTGTGCTATTAAGAGCAGAGATGCTGTTGAATCCCAATGACGGAACACCAGGGGGCTCCAGGGCATGTTTGGGGGGTAGACTTAGGACCTCAGCTCCCACACCCTGTTTCTGGTGATTCCTGACCCTGGGGTCACAGTAGGATGGACCAGAACACCTAAATCTCAACAGACATTGATGAAAAAAAATTGGAAAGAAGTTTTAAAAAATTTAAGGAGTGATCATCTGTGAAAGGATGGATCATTTTAACTTCTTGATAATTTAGTAGTATTTGTGCATTTTAACAAAAATCTTCTACTGAATATAAAAATAATAATAGTTTAACAATATATTGTTTTTCTACAGTTTAAAATTGCTATGTCATACTTTGAATATACACTTTAAAGACTTTTCTGGAGTCTTTCTGCTCTATTTATCTATCTCATTCTTACATCATTACCACATTATGTCAGTAGCTCTGCTATTACCATTAGTATCTACCATGCTAAATGTCTACAACTAGTTTTTAGTCACAGTCTCATGTTTATGCATCCTTTAAGAATATATAATATGCCCTATTTTTAACATAACCTAGAATAAAAAATAAAATTTTATGGCGAATTTGATTAGAATTGCAGTCATTTACATATAAATTTAGTAGGTATAGTCTTCATTATTACTGTAGTTTTTATCTTCTTGAATTTGCCTTTCCATTTATTAAGGTTTTATTGTGGGTCTTTGGTAAAACTTCACTCAGTGCTGTTAATAGATTTCTCACATTTTTTTGTATAAATGTAATAACAAATTTTAAAATTAACTCCTTTTCCATTTTATTAAATTGTTCATGGCTCTAGAAATACAATGTTTGAGGCTTCTGATAATTCTTCTTATGATCTTAGAATAAGGGAAAAACAGGGCAAAGGGATTGAATGGTCACCATTCACACATTTACTCAAGGTGCAAAGTATAAATAACAGCTCTAAATAATAAAAATAATGAAATTGTTGGTTTCAAAGAAAATCTTTATAACCAATGAATCAATCAACCAGTCATTCAAAGTTTAAAAACACTTTACAAGTCTTGGAATAAGCAGCCAATGAAGTGTAAAGTATCTGATCACTGATAAAAATAAATACATCTATGTATAACATTTAAAAACCCCACTTTCTGAACATAATTTTTATCCAGTTCTCTTGTTCTAATTGGGCTGGTAGTTGTGAGCTGAGTGGGGACAAAACGTAATCCTGTTCCAGGTTAGGGATGGGGAGAAGGGGATGGAAAATATGTTGATTTTAAAATAAGCCTCAGTGGCAGAGCATCAGGTTAATTTTTTCAGTTTAATTTATACTTATCTGAACTTTAGCTGTTCATGGTAGGTGAGTGGTATTATTTAAAAGGGCATCACTTTTATACCAGTTCAAATAGAGCAGATTTCTAAAAATAATATATTAAATCTGTAGAACACTATATTTTCCACTTTATACAAATTTATAGTTGTTGAAATCAATTTGATTCCTGTCCCTGGGACCAATTTGTTTCAAATTCATCTGCTTCAGAGTTCTAGAAATTGGGGAATCAACTGAAAGAACTATTTGTATCAGAGTTGGGGAGCTGACCACCTGGGAGGATAAGGAGGTGTTCGGTGGTGGAAATGTGGTGAGCGACACTCCTGAGTGAAGCAGCAGTCTGAGCCAAAGTTTAGAGTGCAATAAGCAGGGTCTGTGGGAATCTGGCATGCCCAGGGCTGAAAGGTATATGATGGGTGGGGAGGGAGACGGAGCTGGAAAGAGAAGCAGATCACATACAGGGGAGATCCCACAGGACCTAATGATGCCCAAAAAACACTTGTTGAAGAAACAAAACAGAGATGGTAGGAGCCAAAGGAGGAGGTTTGGACCACATGGTTCTTCTAAGCCATTGTGTTCCCTGACAACTAAGTAAGACACTTCTCGAGGGTAGGGATGTCCAATGCACACTGTCCTCCCTGCCCCACTCCCCACTGGAAAATGGCTCCCTAACAACTGAAAACACAAGTAGAAGTTCCTGAGGGAGTAAGGACCCTTTCCTGGGGGCTTCCTGTGAGTTCACCACACAAAGTTGGGAACAGACAATTCTATGGTGGACCAGTCTTTCATGGAAGACAACATGCTCATGAGATGTCATAAGATGGAGTCCCTTATTCCATCAACTGCCAACCACTCTACAAGCACCCGCCCAAGAATTCCTGAGGCTCAGAACCCGGTGATCTCATCTTTAGAGAACAATGGGACTGGGACCTTCTGGGGACTCCCATTGGTGGGCAGAGTAGTGGGTGAGTTCACTCTTTGCAGAGTTATAGTCCTGGTAACCAGAGTGAATTTTATGGATTCGCGAAAGGAGGACCTGGGCCTCCCTGGCCATAAGTACACCCAGACCTTTTGAGTGTGAGCGACAAACTTTCAGGGAAGACCCTTTGCATGGATGGGGTGGTGGCTGCCTGAATGGAATGCTATTTAGTTAAGAGACAGACTCCTTTAGGAAACTAAGGACTCCTCGAAGGCAGAGACCATGTTCTGCCCAAGCAGAAAAGATACAATTGAGGTCCTTGCCCTTAGTGAGGCTTCTCGGTCTGAATGACTGCATGGGTCCTGGACTGGGAGCCAGAAGGCCTGTCTTGAGTCTGGGCAGGTCTGGCCACTCTACACCTAGTGTTCCTTATCTGAAAAAGGCTAATGGGGTCTCTTATGTGCCCTGCAAATATAGCTGTGACTGAATCAGGAAATTATTAGGCATGTCTTTGAGAAGGGTGGGAAGGAATGAGAGGAAGAATGAGCCAAATCCAGGAGAGGAATGAGAAACAGTTCAGGTCCCAAGTTAGAGCTGTCAGTCAGCTTGCCTCTTTTCTTTTCTTTTTTTTTTTTTTTACTGCCTCAGCATGGGTCCCATGGTATTTCGGATTGTTGGGGCTCTGCACCGTGATAACTGGTGGCTGCATGCTCTTACTCCACTGGAGGAAGAACCTGCGGAGGAGACAGCATGCCCAGCAGTGGGTGGAGGTGATAAAAGCTGCCACCTTCAGTTATAATCCACTGCTCTACTGGGTCAACAAACGACGCAGATATGGCATGACGGCGGCCATCAGAATAGACCCTCCCCGGGCTGTTGCCTATACTGATATTCAACTCGAAATTCCGGATCTTCCATCAGAGCCGCACCCCCGTGAAGACAGGCGTCATGCCTTCAGAGGCAGCAGCCCCGAGGCAGAAGACCCTGTTCCCCTCCAACCTGCTCTGGTGGTCCCACAGCAGCCCTCACCTAAGGGGATGCCAGAGAGACAGACCCCATCGCCCTTCCCAATTGTCTTTCC